TTTCTGCTTGTCTCAGACATATACTAATTATTTCAAATAAAGGAAACCATGGGACCTATGTTTTGGGGCCTGGCTTAGTTCACTTAATATATTTCATAATATATAGTATATATAATATATATTAATATGTATATTAATATACATTTTCCCAAGTCTTTCCATTTCCTAAAAAATGGGGCAATGTCATTCTTTCTGATGGAGGCATAGAATTCCATTGTGTATATATACCACATTTTCTTGATCCATTCATCTGCTGAGAGGCATCTGGGTTGGTTCCATATTTTAGCTATGATAAATAGTGCTGCAATAAACATAGTTGTTCTGGTAGTTTTAGTTTGGTCTGGTTTGTGCTCATTTGGGTAAATGTCCAAAAGTGGGACAGCTGGGTCATAGGGGAGCTCTATGTGGAGTCTTTTGAGGACCTCCATACTGCTTTCCAAAGTGGTTGAACAAGTTTACACTCCCACCAACAGTGCAGTAGGGTTCCATTCTGTCCACATCGCCTCAAGTATCTGTTGTTATTAGAGTTTTTGGTGATAGCCTTTCTAACTGGGTGAGGGGAATTTCAATGTTGTTTTCATTTGCATTTCTTTTATGTCTATTGGCCATTGAGTCCCTATGACTTCCAAGGATACTAGTGTTGACTTCCTGAAGCGAATGTGCTGGGAAAGTATTATACTTAGAAGAAAAGGAGCCTGTTACTCTCTGTGTGAATTCATCACTGTTCTTAGTTACAGATGTCAAGTGTACGCAGTGCCAAGGGAATTATCATGGGATGTGGATTTGTTCACAAACTATTGAGAAGTTTAAGGCAAAGGGTCTAATAACTCAGTTTTAAGAGTGGAGTTGTACATGGAGCCTGTAGGGGGAAACCTTGCTCTATACTCACTTGCCTCCTGGAGAGAAGAGCTGCCACTCTCTTCCTGCTCCAATAATATGGCACCCAGATACCAGTGTTCTGAACCCACCTCCTGACCTGCAGCTCTCCTGCCTTATTCACACCCACATTTCATCCTCCTGAGGCTAAATAGATGAGTTGGGTATGTAATTCTACACCCCCTGCTTAGAAACTTATTTTCTCGGGCTGGGAAGGTGACTCAGTGGTAGAGCACTTTCCTTGCATGCCTGAGGTCCTGGGTTCGATTCCTCAGCACCGCATAAGCAAAAAAAGAAAAAAGCCAGAAGTGGCACTCTGGCTCAAGCGGTAGAGTACTAGCCTTGAGCTGAAGAGCTGAGGGACAGCACCCAGGCCCAAAGTTCAGGCCCCACGATGTACCTCCCCACACAAAAAAAGAAAGAAAGAAAGAAAGGACCATATTTCCCCACACTTATACAACCTCTTAAAAAAAATCTACCTCACCATATTGTTATCTAACAAATTGCCAAAGTTTCCACTACAATAATAGCCATCCCTCTCAACCCAGAGATGGTGATGCCAAATGCTCTCAGTACAGCATCCATCTTATATCATTGGTCAAAGTTAGTTAGAAAATGTTATAAAGATGTGTACTTAACTTTTAATTGCTGTGACAAGACCTTAATAAAATCAACTTGAAGGGAAGAATTCTTTATTTCAATCTTAGATCAGAAATTTTACTCTGCCATGTGGGCAGAGTACAGTGGAGCTCACATCATGTCACCCA